GGCCGCCATGTCGGCCGAGGAGATGGTGCAGATCCACCTGGAAGGCCGCTGCTTCCCGGTGAGCAAGCGCAAGCTGATCGAGCAGAGCGACTACTTCCGCGCGCTCTACCGCTCCGGCATGCGCGAGGCGGCGCGGCCCGCGGCGGGCCCCGAGGTGCAGCAGCTGCGCGGCCTGAGCGCGCCCGGCCTGCGGCTGGTGCTGGACTTCATCGACGCGGGCGAGGGCTGGCCGCTGCGCGCTCAGGGCGACGACGAGCTGCTGGGCGAGCTGGTGGAGGCCGCGTCGTTCCTGCAGGTCACCGCGCTGCTGCAGCTGCTGCTGTCGCAGGTCCGGCTGGGCAACTGCCTGCAGCTGTACCGGCTGGCGCAGGTGTACGGGCTGCCCGACCTGCAGGACGCCTGCGTGCGCTTCATGGCGCTGCACTTCCACGAGGTGCTGTGCAAGCCGCAGTTCCGGCTGCTGGGGGCCCCGGCGCCGGCGCCCGGGGAGCCCAGCCTGCGGCAGAGGCTGGGGGAGGCGCGCATGAGCGGCACCCCGGTGCTGGTGGCGCTGGGGGACTTCCTGGGGGGCCCGCTGGCCCCGCACCCCTACCAGGGCGAGCCCCCGTCCATGCTCAGGTACGAGGAGATGACCGAGCGCTGGTTCCCGCTGGCCAACAACCTGCCCCCCGACCTGGTGAACGTCAGGGGCTACGGCTCGGCCATCCTGGACAACTACCTGTTCATCGTGGGCGGGTACAGGATCACCAGCCAGGAGATCTCTGCGGCGCACTCCTACAACCCCAGCACCAACGAGTGGCTGCAGGTGGCCTCGATGAACCAGAAGAGGTAAAGGGCCGGCTGGGCCTTCATTCATTCCCCTGGCGCGTCTGCGCCGCCGGATGGTGGCCTGCGCCCGCCCGGTCGCTTCTGGCCTTGCCTTTTGGCAGAGTTTCCAGTGAGCCAGGGCTAGCCCAGCTGAGGTCAGCTAGCCCAGCGGCCTTGGGTGCTGGGCCTCAGGTGAAACTGGCCACTTGGCCTCTGTCCCAGTGGAGAGAGACTTGATGGGTGTTTGAGGAAGCTGCTTGAAAGGAGAGCTGACGTTTTCCTCTCCGTTTTCCTCTTGGCCTTTCTGGTCTGATCTTCACTGTGATGACACATGGCAGGCCGCACAGTGACCTGAAGCACTGACTTGAGGACTTTGGTGTTGCCATTGTCAGTGACTCTGCACCCTCCCCCCTGCGGTTCCATCCATGGGCTCCGGAAGGTTTTCATATTTGCCATAAAGCGTTTGTCCCTTTTTTGTCTCTTTTGGCCCCCCTTTTGTTTATTTTCTTCCTAGACAGCAGTCAGCACTGAACCAAACCTTAAGCCTGGAGCAGCCGTCATTCCTCAGGGTGGGTTATCCCTGGGGAGCCAGTTCCAGGGCCGCCTCAGATGCCCAAATCTGGATGCTCAAGTCCTTTATGACCAGTATTTGCGTATCGCTTCGGTATATCCTTGTGTATACTTCTGTGTTGTTTCTGTTTCTATTGACCTTTAGTCTTTGAGGGGCTTGCTGTGTTGCTCAGGCTGGTCTTGAACTCAAGTGGTCCTTCTGCATCTGCCCCCTGAGTAACCGGGACAGTCCAGCCCCAGGGAAATTGAAACTCTCTTTCACTTCCTCTGGCACTTGTACACATGTGGCGTGGGAGCGTGTAAAAATAAATTGTAAAAAAGAAACAGCAACAACAACAAAACAACAGGGCTGGAGAGAGAACTTAGCGGTTAAGAACACTGGTTGTTCTTGCAGAAGACCCGGGTTCAAATCCCAGCACCCACATGGCAGCTAACAACTGTCCTAACTCCAGTTCCAGGAGATCCAGCGACCTTTCTGTCCTCCTTGGCCATTGCAGAGATGGCTCAGTGGTTAAGAGCGCTGACTGTTCGACAGAGGACCCAGGTTCTATTCCTAGCACTCACATAGTGGCTAACAGCTGTCAGTAACTCCAGTTTGAGGGGATCTGACAACCACTTCTTACCTCCACGGACATTGCACAATACAGGTGCTCTTACATACATGCAGGTAATACACTCATACATATACATACACACATGTTCACACATATACACATACATAAATAAAAATAAATCTTTTAAAAAGGAGACTGGAGAGATGCTCAGTGGTTAAGAGCACTGGCTGCTCTTGCAGAGGACCCAAGTTTGATTCCCAGCATGCACATGATGGCTGACAACCGACCATAACTCCAGTTCCAGGGGAATCTGATGTCCTCTTCTGACCTCCTTGGGCATTGCATGACACAGGTGCACCTACCTACATGTAGGCAGTACACTCATACACATAAAATAAAATAATAATAAAACTGGCAAACCTAAGCATGATGTAGAGACCAGTGCATCGCTTCCTGTCCTCGAGGCACTACCTAGAGCTTGGTGTGTTCCCATCTAACCTCTGATGATATATCACTGAGATAATACCATATTTAAAATTTAGTGTCACACCCTGTATCATGGTACACACCTATAATCAGAGTGCTTAGGAGGCTGAGGCAGGCGCATCTATAGTTAAGAACAGCCTGAAGTACGTACGTAGACCCTTTTCCAAACAAAAATAAAGTAATAAAGTTAGTGTCAAAGCTGTCATTGTAAAACGAGTTTGAAGAGCTTCGAGGCAGCAAAGGGCCATGCGGTGCTGCGGGTGGTGCTCGGAAGGGATGGAAGGTTCTGGGTCCTCTGCTGCCTCTTGTAGTGTTTCCAGTCACATCTTCTTGGGCCCATCTTGTCATCCTAACTCCATAGTCCCCATGCTCACCTCTCAGATCTCTGTTTTTTTGGTCACAGATCCTTGGTAGTCTTTTTGTTTCTAGGATTGCCCCTATCCTTGCTCTTAAAGTGTTTGAGCCAGGGGCGTGGTGGTTCATGCCTTTAATCCCAGCACTCAGGAGGCAGAGGCAGGGGCATCTCTGTGAGTTCAAGGCCAGCCTGGTCCACATAGTGAGTTCCAGGACAGCTGGGGCTACAGGGAGACCCTGGCTCAAAAAGACTAAAAAACAACAACAACAAAACTGTAAATGCCCTCCAGAGAAAGGAGAGAAAGGTGGGTACTTGGTACTCTCTTCCTGCTCTGACCAGGTGCCTGACAGTAGCTTCAGGAAGGAGGGTTTATTGTGGCTCATGGGTCAAGGGTCCTTCATGGGGGCGTAGGGGGGTGGGCACAGCGTAGGAGCCTGAGGCAGCCGGTCACATGGGACCTCCAGTCGGGAAGACGAGAGGGGTGGATGCAGGTGCTCAGCTCCACTTCTCCTTTTTAAGTTGTCTGGGACATGGAATAGTGCTGCCACACTTAGGGACAGTGGATAGTGCCCACCACACTTAGGGACAGTAGGAGAGTTGGGTGGGATAAGGTAGGTAGGTAGGAGTAGGTGGGTGGGATGGGGTTGTTACTTGCCTCATGCCTGGTGGGGCAGACAATCAGGGTGGAGAGCACACAGTGGAACAGATGGATCCTCGTGGCTGAGAACAAGAGGGAGAGTCTGGGGATGGCAAGAAATAACCTTCAGAGACACCTCCCCCAGTGACTCCCCCTTCTCCACCTAGGCTCAACCTGCTGGGTTCCACCACATGGCAATAATGCCTTCACATTATGAATCCATCCATGGCTAGTACACTGATGAGGCCTGCACCCTCATGATGTCACTGCTTATCCAGACCACAGTGGTATCTACTACTATTATAGTTAGGCATTATGAATGTGTAGATGCTCATGTGAACTTAGGAGCGGGTAGCAGTGGGGAGCTCTGTGTCTGGTCCTGAGTGCTGAGTGTGCACCACCTCGTGCTTTCCTCTTGAATCATTAGGTTGTGCTAACCGTTATGACACGTGATATTTCCAGTTAATGGTTGTATCTGAATTTTCTTCCATGTCCACAGATGTATATCCATTACTAGATCTGTATGACTTGGTTTTCTTTTTTATTTACTTTTTTGAGACAAGGTTTCATATATCCCAGGTGGCCTCAAACTTGCTCTGTATCTGAGGAAGACCTTGAACTTCTTATCCCTGTGCCTTCACCTGGGATTACAGGTGGGCACCATGCTGGTGGCTGTTATTTTGAGACAGGATCTCATTCTGTATCCCTAACTGGCTTTGAGCTTGTGGCAAGTCGTCTCCTTCTGTCTTATTTATGGCTGTATAGCATTCCAGCCTGTGGTTGTATCATGATGTGATTAGCTCTTCTTTGAGTGGCTTCAGCTGTCCCTGTAAACAGTGCTGTGGTGGACCTCCTCGGCTGTAAGTCGGTTTTAGGCACATTCGAGTTAGTTCCATGTCAAAATCTAGGAATCCCTGGGTAAAGCAAGGCAAAGTGCATACACATTTTATATTTTAGCTCCTGCCCATTTGCCCATGAAAAAACTGTCTTAATTTGTCTCTCATCAACAGGGATGGATTTTGCTGGTCCCCTCTGCTCTGCTAATAAAAGATTATCACAACCCCAGTCTAATGGGCAGAAATGGCAATGTGATTTCCTCTGATCAGGACAAAGGTTATTCTTTTTATATGTTTGTTGACTGTATATTTTGTAAACAAATGTCTTTCCCATTTAAGAAAATTTGGCTTATTTTCTCATATTAATTTTAGAAATTATGTCCAGAGCTCCTGTTTGTTGCATTCACATATTTCCCTGTACCTTGATTTTAAAGAAATGTGATTCAAAACTGAAATCTGTGTTACCTATGGGAAGTCCCACCCTCAGCCATGCTGGGTATTTCCCAATGAAGCGAGGGCTTGGGGTTGCAAAACAGCCAAATAGCCCAGTTTTTAAACAATTTATTTATTTTATTTTACTTTATGTGTATGGGTGTATCGCCTGCATGTGTATAAGTGCACTCATGTCCTGCAATGCGTGAGGAGGTCAGAAGAGGGCATCAGTTCTCCTGAACTGGAGTTACAGATGGTTGTTAGCCACCATGTGGGTGCTGGGATTTGAACCTGGGTCCTCTGTAAGAACAGCCAGTGCTCTTAACTGCTGAGCCACCTCTCCAGCCCTGATTTTTTTTCAATAGAGGGAAAAAGGTACAGAAAGATGATTGCCACAATTTTACTGTGAAACCAGCTACTTAAATGGCATTAGTGTTCGATGGAAATTTACATTTGGGTTGTTTTTATTAAATACCCTTGAGCAGCTCTCTTACCTTTTCTGTACCAGTTTGCTGCATCTATAAAGCAGGAACCCACAGCTACAGTCCAGGTCAGAACCCACAGCTACAGTCCAGGTCAGAACCCACCATCTACAGTCCAGGTCAGAACCCACTACCTACAGTCCAGGTCAGAACCCACAGCTACAGTCCAGGTCAGAACCCACCACCTACAGTCCAGGTCAGAACCCACAGCTACAGTCCAGGTCAGAATAAACTAGAATCAGGCAGAACAATAAGAACAGAGTCTCCAGTGGCTTTCCACCACCTACAGTCCAGGTCAGAACCCACAGCCACAGTCCAGATCAGAACCCACAGCCACAGTCCAGATCAGAACCCACAGCTACAGTCCAGGTGAGAACCCACCACCTACAGTCCAGGTCAGAACCCACAGCTACAGTCCTGGGCAAAACTCAGTCCAGGTCAGAACCCACAGCTACAGTCCAGGTCAGAACCCACCACCTACAGTCCAAGTCAGAACCCACAGCTACAGTCCAGGTCAGAACCCACCACCTACAGTCCAGGTCAGAACCCACAGCTACAGTCCAGGTTGGAATAAACTAGAATCAGGCAGAACAATAAGAACAGAGTCTCCAGTGGCTTAACGTTCAGTTAAATGTGACTTTTTCAGCTACTGTAACAATAGTGGCAGTT